AGCCTGGCGGCGGTGGTGGGCTTTCTCATCGTCTTCACCATCGTGGGAAATGTGCTGGTGGTGATAGCTGTGCTCACCAGCCGGGCTCTGAGAGCCCCCCAGAACCTCTTCCTGGTGTCCCTGGCCAGCGCGGACATCCTGGTGGCTACCTTGGTCATGCCTTTCTCCCTAGCCAACGAGCTGATGAATTACTGGTACTTCGGCAAGGCTTGGTGTAACATTTACCTGGCGCTGGATGTGCTCTTCTGTACCTCGTCCATTGTCCACCTGTGTGCCATCAGCCTCGACAGGTACTGGTCGGTCACACAGGCGGTGGAGTACAACCTCAAACGGACACCCCGGCGGATCAAGGCCATCATCCTCACGGTCTGGCTCATTTCAGCCATCATCTCCTTCCCGCCATTGATCTCCGTGTACCGGGACCCTGAAGGAGATGTCTTTCCCCAGTGCAAGCTCAATGACGAGACATGGTACATCCTTTCTTCTTGCATAGGCTCTTTCTTTGCCCCCTGCCTCATCATGGTGTTGGTCTATATCCGCATCTACCGCGTGGCCAAGCTAAGGACCAGGACCCTCTCTGAGAAGCGTACGATGCCAGAGGGGTCCTCCCAGACTGAGAATGGCTTGAGCCGCGCTGCTGGCGGCTGCACGTCCATGAGGATGCAGTTGGGAGAGAATGGACATTATTCGGTTCACCACTGGCGCAAAGCCTCTGAGCTGGAGGACATTGAGCTGGAGGAGAGCAGCACCTCAGAAAGCAGGCGGAGGCGGAGCCGGGAGGAGCATCCCCGCAAGAGCAGCAAGAGCCAGTCCTTCTCCTACTCATACTCCTCCAAGCACTCCAGTAGCCGCCTGTCCCGCGCCAGCAATCGCTCCATGCAGTTCTTCTCATATCGCCGTCGCCGGAAGCGTAGCAGCATCTGCCGTAAGAAAGTTGCCCAGGCCCGGGAGAAACGCTTCACTTTTGTGCTGGCTGTGGTCATGGGGGTCTTTGTAGTTTGCTGGTTCCCTTTCTTCTTCAGCTACAGCCTCTATGGTATTTGCCGGGAGGCATGCGAGGTCCCTGAAACTCTCTTCAAGTTCTTCTTCTGGATTGGGTATTGCAATAGCTCCCTCAACCCAGTCATCTACACCATCTTCAATCAGGACTTCCGCAGGTCCTTTAAACACATTCTTTTTAAGAAGAAGAAGAAGAACTTCCGGCACTGAGCTGGAGGGATGGATTTGCCTCGAGAAGGAATAGAGTTAAAAGAGAAGGAGAAGGCTCTATGCTGGAGAAGAAGGGAGGGAAGAGAACATGGGGTTTGGGCTTAGGGAAGAGGGCTGGCCCCCTTGGTGGAGCAGGGTGGTGCTGTGGGTTACAGGGGTGGTGTTGGGGAGGCTGAGGGCATTCACTGTGGTACAGATGGGCAACATGGTGCTGGAGGAGCAGTGCTGGAGTTTGGATGGGTAAATGGGAAGGACAGTGATTGTCTTTGAGCCCTGATGGAGGGTGTGGGGAGCCTGCAGCAGAAAATAGGCTAAGACACTGAGTCTGGGAGGCAGTGAGCTTTTATGGGCTCTGGAGTTTTGTGGAAAAACAAAAACAGACTTCAAGAGGAAAGGGTTAAGTGGCAGTGATGGTGGAGATTTCAGTATTTATAAATAGAGCAGTTGGGGCCTATGGTGAATTTGTCCCAGTAAGAAATTGGCTTTTACTGCTTGTGTGGGGAAGGAAAGTGCAAAGTACCAAGCACTGACAGTGTTTTGAGTTATGAAAGGATTTAAATGTTTGCCAAAAAACCCTAAAGAACAATCCAAACTCTTTTCTAAATAAACCTTTGTACTGTTAAAACCTTCTGAATCATGATTTTGCACAAGGGATGAAGTCAAACAGAAAGCATGGGGTTTTCTTTTCCTTTGGAGAGGTCTTGCCTATAGAGCTGGCTGGGAAACATTTTTCCTCTCTTCTCGTAGTTTTTGATTAGTCAGTGGGACAAACCTAGGAGTCTTGCATTTTTTCATGAAATATGAAAAAGAGCACATACACCACATGACCTCATTTGCCCCTGATGGATCGCCAGGCAGTAAATTCCTGCTCCATCCCTCTCAGATCAGTGTCCTAGGGACCTTGTTGTCCTGGAGCAGATAGTGAAAAAAAAGTGATTTTGGTGACTTTGCCTAACATTTCCTGAGATAAAAGGAAAAGAACAAGTTTTCACTTGCATGTGCCCAGGGGAACTTCCCCCCGTCCTCTCGCTCTTTTTCAGTGCCCCTCAAAAGGCTAATCTCAGGGCTGGATTTGTGCTGCTCTCATTCTCAGACAGGCAGTTGAAGGCAGTCTGCTATGCAGATTTTCAGAGGAAGAGCAATCACCACACCACTAAGGTCTTTAAATCCTTCGTATTTACAGTCTTAGGACAACTGAATCCTTTATATTTATTTTTTAATAAGAAGCATACACTGCAGATTGTCAGTGTCGTATGTGAACAAATCTCAAAAGAAGGTGCAGCTGTTCCAAACCTTTAGTATTAGTGTTGCTTGCTTTCTCTTCTCTTGTTTGCATTTCTAGTTTATGATTTCAGAGGATTTTTTTGGGAGGAGGGAGGAAGAGGGGAGTATAGTTTGAATAGTTATTAAAGAAAACCATATTTCCCATGGGTTTATAAAATGTCATAAACTGCAATGAAGAGAATGAGAGGCAGGGACTGGTGTCTGTATGTTCATCACTGGATGCATATCAAGTGTAAGACTCAGCTGAGCATTTACATCCCTTCCCCAGCTGTGCTGCTGCAAGGTGTGTATTCTGTTTATGGGGTAAATACTGCTCCATTCTATGCGTGTCACTCCTTCCATTGGCAGCAGGATTTGGCATCTGCCTCAAATGAACCTTTCCATAGCAAGCAGCTCTTTGAAAGAATGAAATCTAATCACATACAGCAGGCTTCTTAAAACAGCTAAATTGAATCTATACCTGAGAATCATTGGATATCCCTTTCCTTCCTCCCTCCGTTCTCTCTGTCTGTAGCCTCTCTTCTCTTGAAATCTCTGTGTCATAAGGAGAAATGATAGAGCAGTCACTTTGTTTCATCAGTTTTTCATAATAAGCATTTGGTTCACTTTACCCTGGAAAAGGAGATTGTCAGTGGCTGAAGTTCTGGTGTTCATTCGACAGACTCATGTTCAAGTGAGAGTTCTGCTAAAGTAGGTATTAGATGATTGCACCAAATGCATTAGAAGTTTGCTTGATTTCACTAAAGAAACAGCTGAGACATTTTCAAAGTCCTAAGTGCATAACTGCCTGGATACTTTCTTGAAATAATGCTCAGAGTGTGAAAAGATTTGAGCACGGTTTAAATAACAAATGGTTTGGTACAAATATGTACCTGAGGCAGAGAAATGAGAGGAAAAAATAACAACAGAGAGGAGGAAATTACAAGCCATTTTCTCTTTTGCAAAATGGAGAATTCTTTTTAAAGTTACATCAAGAAGAGCTGAAACAAGCTCCTATTATTTGTAGGTAACGATGTAGCTAAAAAGTTCAGGTTTGTTTAATCTGAAGAAACTATATAATCACCAAAGCAACATATGGTACCTGGCTACTACCTCTGAGCTCCTGGATGGCTTCATTAGAGATGCCCGTTTCTGCCAAGATGAAGGTCTGCTTTTGTCACTTATTGCTGGTTTAGAGGGTTTTCCCAGTCTGCAGACTCACAGTGGTTTCACTGTTGCACTGCTTTTGAAATGAGATTGTGGCCTGTAAACAGAGTCCTTCCTTTTTTTTTTTTTCTTCCCTTGTAGAATTTAGGGAATCTGGAGGTGAAATTTAATTGACAGTCAGATTTTAATTGACATAAAGTATAAATGGAATGACTGATGTGCCTTAAAAGTAAATTCTCTGTGATAAAAATATTCTGTGGTCATTATAAACATAAAGGAAATGATACTTCTGTTTTTGTTTTGCACTTCCAAAAGTTTAAAAGGGATTGATGCAGATAATGAATATCTATGTGCAGATGCATATTTAAAAAAACAGGGCATTTTCTGTGGTTTTAATCTATTTCTCAACGCAATTTCAATCTTTCTAATCTGATTCAGTGCTTCAAAAGGATCTTATTTCTTCTGAGCTAGATAAAAAGTAATATTCATCAATAAAGATGTGCAGTTTACACCCCTTTTAAATGCATTTCCCCCTAAATTAGTGAATATAGAGGATTTCTATAAAAATTGTTTTTAATATAATGACTGAATATGCTTCAAGTAAAATGGGGCTGATTTATTTTTTTTAATTACAGTGTTCTCTTATTACTTGTAATAGCTGAAGACTGGAATTTGTTTGTAACATATTGTGTGGTGTTAACTTTTCATAAAAAGTTGTCAGCTCTGCTACACTGTGTTTGTGCTTCAACTGTAAGTTGGCTAATAGCATATATAGGAAAAAATAGTCTGTGCAGCTTTTGCTCAAAAAAAAAGGGAGAAGATATTTTATGTTTTAAATGCGTCAAGTTGTTTCTTTGATCACATCTGATGAGCTGGCTGAAACACTCTCTACTGTTGTGGAAGAATGAAATGTTGCTGTGAAGCCATATCGATTTTAACAAGTACCTCATCCTTAACTCTTCATTTGCTCATTTCACCGTGAAGAAAATTTTCTGTCAGTCTTAAGTGAGAAGTTAATGTTTCATTTTCAAAAACAATTTTCTGAGCAGTGCCATTGTTGGCTGGGTATTGAAATATCGAACAGTGTCACTTAGCTGGGATGGGAACTCAGTGCTGCTGTCCTTCAGCTGCCTCTGTGGGAGTTTTGCGTGAGTGAGAAACGCGGAATTAGCCTCTTCAAGGCTTGAGGCAGATGGAAGGGGCCTCATATATAGGAGATTTGACAGGATCACAGTTTTAAATCAGCGTCTGAATTAAGAAGCAGGCCCTTGTTGTTCTGTGTGATCTCTGTTCATAAGAATTATGTTGCTGCAAGAGGACTCGAGATTTCTGAGAAGCCGATCTGAAGTAAAAGACTAAATGCAGCTTTGCCCAGATTGGCCTGTATTATCCTTTGTGAGTAATCCCAGGAAACTTCAGTTTGCTTGTGAATGAAGAAACTACTCAGTGTGGGCAAGGACTTTAGGAGCTTCCGTAGACACTGCCTCTTTTTTAGTAACTGTGCCTGAGGAATTTAAGCAAACATTTGTGCGTAAATATAGGAGAACAGAAGGAATACAATCCTCTCTGCTTAACTTTTTCTACTGTTCAAACCCATAGAAGATGTGGATTAAGGTTTTTCTGACTATATAACCAGAGGAACAAACCCTGTTGTATATTTTTAGTATAAGCTGTGTGAAGAGCATTACCTGCTTGCATCTGTCTTTCAGAGAAGAAAAGTGTTGGTCTGTGAAAGTTGGCATTGGTTAGAAAAGCAGCTGAGAAGTGTAAGGATTTTGCAGGAAATGTGAGTAACAACATGCATTTCAGAAGAATGTTCTGACCTTAAACTATGACTACTCTCAAGAAGGAGAGAACACCTACAAGCTGTGCAAGAGGAAGGCCAGATGCTGTGAGTTTGTTTTCGTGGTTGCTTATTGTGACCTGGTTGGTGAGCAGGAAGCAACTGTATGCTTCAGGCAATAAGCTCTAATTTGGAGGGGGAACAGTGCATGAGGAAGTGGCAACCCACAACACTGGGGGAATTAGTATTTACACACTTTCTTTGCACTGCAGCCAAGTACAGTGGAGGAATTTGCCTTTTTTGTTGCACAATAGCAAATGTTAATTTGTCTTTCAGTTGTGTGGGTCAGCTAGACCATACAAAAGATGACACAGGAGAGGGCAGATAGAGGATTGCTCACTTCAGTGTTCAACGCCAAGCTTAAATTTGTCCTTTGTCCTTGAAATTAAGCCAAAAATACAGTTTGGCACTTGGACCCAAAGGCTATGTAGCATCAATAATGCTACACTGAATATAGTCTAGTTTTAGCAAAAAGCATCAGTTCATATTATACACCCTGCATATCTCTGTTTCAAGGCAGAAATAGGAGAGTCTGACACTTAAAGCATGTGAAAAAGGAGTAAACAGGAGTTTGAAGAGTCACAGGTGTATTGTGAAATTTCCTAGATCCTATTCTGATAACTGAGCTGGCTTTAATTTTGTGGGTCCCAAACACTTTGAACTCCTAAGAAAGTCTTAGGGAGGTAAAAAACATGGAAACAGTAGAAATACTGCTTCTCAAGGAAGCAAAAAGTGGCAAATTGCTCAGAGAGTCTTGTTCAGATGTTTGTACCAGATGCCCTGTCCTCCAGTGGGTGGATAATTGTTACTGTGGGGTATCTTCAACTCACAGTGACTACCATGCTTGATCTGAATTAAGGTAATACCTACAGTTGGTACATTGCCTTTGTTTGAAGAGGCAGCCCTTAGAATATGACAGAAGACATTTTAAGTAGTTTTTCTCTCCTCTGGCACATGTCCTTCACTACACTATTCCAAACATTTTTTAATTCAACTGCACAATGGTTTATAAGGTAAAGAAAGATTGTCAGTATCTTACAGAAAAAAAAGACAGAGAGGCATGGAAAATAGTAGGTATGGAAACCTGGTGTCTTAGTCCTGACCTAACATCTTACTGCAATACCAGTCTTTCTTCCACCACCACATTTTTCTCTTTTGGAAAACAGAAATCAATGCAAAATTGTTTTTAACAAACTACACTGATGATACTGTTTACACTAGAAAAAAAAGAGAGCTTTTCTCTCAATAAATAGCATTCTGCTGTAAAGCAGTTTTCTTTACTACACTTGTCTGTAAAATCTAATGAAAAGTAGACCAACATTTAATTCAATTTGTTTATATGTACCTCTCTTACCAAAAATGGTTTATTATAGGTCCTGAATGTAAACGGCACAAATCAAATGTAGCTCCCTGCTACATCAAAATCAATTAGTTGTGTTTCAGCATTTTTCTGAACAGCAGTCATTCATTTTGCATGATGCTCTTTCCTGATAGCTGTCTGCTGACAGAGAAAGCTGTTCACCCTGTTGACAACAAGAATAAGATGAGGATTCCTATTTGCCTCTATCATGTTAAGTCTCCTCTAATACATTAGAAAGCAGGCCACTAGAAGTAGGTCTTTTTGTGGTAAGTGACATGAATCAGAGAATTAATAACCTGACTGGTTCCAAGATGTACAGCACACTTAATCAAGGGGCTAACCCTAGACTGTGGGGACATGCTTCTCATGTTTTAGTTCTCTGTGCCTTTGACCCAACATTGCAAATTATTTGCTCTGTAGTGGAACACTCAGCACAGCATCCCTTTCAACCTAGTCTGGTCGAGTAAGAAATTAATACTGAGGTCTCCCACTTCCTCACTGAGTGCTTTCACTGATAGACTATTTATAAAGGTGATGCAGCTAAAATGCCTTTCCTTTTGGCACATAAATGTTTTATTTGATCTAGCTTTTTATCTCTCAGTAGACTAACACTCTCATTCCACAAGGACATTCTCTATCTGGAAAGCAAACACATGTCAAATACTGGGAGGAATATTAGAAATCCCGAAAAACCCCAGCCACTCCAGGTAAATTCTAAAAGAAAGCAGCACAGCTGAACTAAGAAAACTAAGGCTTAATCTTGTCTCTGGTGGGGATGCCCTATCTGAGACCACCTATTCTGATGTATCTCTCATCAGATTTGGTGCAAACAGTGTGTGGAGCTGTTCTGTTGGGGCCCTTGCAGCTCTACTGAGAGGAACAATTTCAAGTGTACAGCAAAGATTAGAGAACAAAAATATATGCCTATTGAATCACTTTCCACTGGAGCAGACACACTCACCTTGTCTTTCTGCTCCCTTTTTGCACTCTTTAAACCAGTCCTTGCTTTCAGTCTGACTACCATACACAGCCTGTGCTTGCTGTGCTTTACATCGTATGCCTCAGTGTCTGATCTGTAAAGGGCAAATGACACTCTCCTCCTCTCAGCTCTGCTGGAAGGGTTCTTCAGAAGACTACCTGTGAGGTGCTTCCATGCTATGCTATGTATAAGTACCTGTAGTGGAATAACAGGAGTTACTACAAATCCTTGACTGACTCCAAGCCACATGGTTTTATCACCAATAAATGCTTGTGTGCAGAGTTTCAAAGTGTCTATAAACGTGCATTCCCTAAGGTTGACACTGATTTGTTTACATCAACAGCAATTTCTGTAGGTAATTAAAGGGAGACTTTTAGTCAATCCATCAGGCACTACTTTGGATTTGTCACATGGCACATCAGAGAAACAGGATGTGTTGTTTTAACAACACAATTCGCAGTAGAAGTGATTAAATATTCCTGGTGGCATGTTTTTCTGTAAACAAAAAAAAAAAAGCCAGTTTGATGAAATATGATCCTTCTTTAAAGAATGTGTCTGGTTTACCCCATATATAATGGAAACCAGGAGACCTTTAATCAGCTTTTGTGGGCCCGACTGCTTACTGGCTTGGCTGGCTGGCTCCTGGGCAGACTGCTGGATGAGGTGCCAGGAAGCCGAGACTTCCAGGCTCCTGGATCTTGGGTAGCTCAGGCCCCTGGGTTTATGGGCACTCAGCTCTGAGCTCCATTATCTAAATGCTTCATAGCCTTTGTTATACTTAGTCTGTCAATGCCTTTATGCATTAAGGAGGGATTGTCATGCCCGTTTTTCAGATGAGAAACCAAAAGATTAAGGCATTTAGGTAGATAAATCTTAACAAGCTTCCACTTTATGTGGATCCTTCCAATTGCAAACCCACCTATTGATTCTCAGATGCCTGCTAAGCTCCAGTGTATAAAGTTCTACCTGTGCTTGAGAGTTCTGTTTCTGCCCCTGTGAACGTCACAGGTCTGCAGAACTTGCACGTGAATCCTCTCAGGATATGCAAACTGAATGTTTCTCTCCTTTGCTTGTCTCCATCTGGTAGGTAGCTCATGCAGTTTGAATTTTGCAGAATAAGGAAGAAGGAAGGAACTGCCTCCAGTTTGTAGGGAAACACTAACATTGCTACGGTTTTTTTAAGGACTGTGTTTGTGGTTTTAGTCACCATTTCTAGATGCCTGTTTTTCCTATGTGCTGAACAAGTACCCTCAGGGAATAACTCTGACCTATGATTTATACCCTGAAGGGGTGGACTTTTTCTGTACTCGTGGCGAAGTACAGAAATCACAAATACTACTTAAAAAAAAAATCTACCCAAGATCCTCCAAAACTAGTCACTGAAATAACCAACCTTATTTATGGGTCAAGGCCCAAATTCAGGAAAAAATTAAAAAAAAAAAATTATAAGCCCAGAGATCTTTCATATTTCCCATTTCTTTTAGTGCAAGTCTCTCGGGATACAGTTTGGATCGCTGGATCATCATTTTCTCAGACTTGAAGGTGACCTCCCTTGAGATTACTGAACCTATGCCTTCCTAATCCAGAAATTACCTGGAAACTCAATGAAAAATAAAGATTGAAGGGTCAAGAAATAACACATATGATTCCAACATTAGGCATGATGGAATCCCTAACTGGCAATACTGTTGGGAACAAACATTTGGGGCTACTCTGTATATTTTTCAGATAAAGTTACGACTATAGAGGGAGTTTGAGTGCCAGGTGAATGTTTTGTACAGAGGTGGGTTGCTGACAGTGTTTACCACCTTCAGAAGTGTCAGTCAATGTCTATCAAACTCATACTTTTCATAATAAGGAAGGGGATTGTCCCCAATTATAGTCTTAAAGGGAAAAAAAAAGGATTTAAAAGTAATTTTAAAAAGTAGTCATCCATAGTAAATATCAAAGGAAAAGGAACCTGTCTGTTGAAGAGTTCAGCAGCAGTTCATTCTTACCTAATTCTGCCATCTCCAGCTTGACATAACTGATAGACACATAGGTTGAGGCTTCCCTCAGGTTACAATGTTTTCAAAAAGTGCTATAACATTTTGTGTGTTAAATAGATTTCTGTTGTGGTAAAAGTTACTACTAATTAATTACAGAAATTG